ATCTACCTCATTATCTAATAATAAATGCCTATATTTTGATTTTCTCAACATGCTGCAGTTTTTCATTTTGTGCTAAATGGGAAAAATTGACTGTGCCATAACATTTGTTAAAGCTGTCCATTTTTCATAGCCGTTAACTTGATAACTAGACTGTGAATATTCGCTGGAGGCCGTGGTGCTGGTGTCTGGGTGGGCGTAACACAGAATATAGTGCCTATTGGAGGAGAAATACAAGAAAAACACCTATTTCAGTGTCAACTTAAAGTGACAGCCAACCCCAATCTATCCAGTTTTTGTTGAGCTCAAAGAGTTCTATTTGACATATTACACAACAGTTGATTGTGGAGCTAATCATGATTAATACACAACCTAGTCAGTTATGTTGTAGACCCTTATATGTCCCTTTAGGACATATAATCCATCTCAGTTGGGATTTTATCCCCTGTTCTTTCACTTTGCTTCTCATAGCTCTCTGTAGAAGAGATAATTACCTAGTACATTTTGTGGATGGAAGTGTGCACAGATTTGCTCTGACCACATGTTGCTACGGACTCTCTGAATGCCCTGTGGGAACCAAAACTCCCAGTGTGTCTTTCTTTTTGATGTTCCTTGTGATGAAGTCCCTGAAAGAAATCAGGCCTTTGGCCAACAACAGCAGCTGCCCTCTCTCTCTTTTACTCTTATAAACACAAATGCTGAGATCCTTTTATTCTCACAGTTTTTATCTTTTAATCAGCTTTATTTGCTGTCCCATCTCATCTATTTCTATGAGTGGCAAAACTGTTCTTGGTGGCAAGTTACCTATATTTGCAAGAAGGTGTATGATTTATCATTTTTTACTAAGTATTATTATTAAGCCTGATTAACTTAATATAATCTAAGTGATGGGTTCCATAAGCAGTGGAAATATCGTCCACGATTCCTGTCGTGGACAATTTATCACTACTATTTGTGCAGAACTAGACATTTATCATTAATACAAACAATTTTGTCATGTAAATATTATATATTATTGCAGCCTAGTGCATTTAAAATGAATATAAAGAATAACGTTTACATAACCTTTTAGTCCTTTTTGTCACTCTCTTGTGCACATATTTGATAAAGAGAGCAGGTTCCAGTCTTGTGTCTTGATTTTCAGTGGGTTTGAATTAAGAGATTGTAAGAACAACACTAATTTCAAATCACTAACTAGCTTTTCATTGAATTTAGTGTAAAAGTGTGACTTTATACTCAGTCACTTTTTAATGGTGCAGATTTTATTCAGTTATACAAATCTATAATTCAAATATTTTTTTTCTCATTGTCTCTAAGTCTGATTGTTTCCACCAGTGATGACATGAGCCAGAATAGACTCTCAAAGCTTATGCGCTGTATGAAATCCTTTGGTTTCATTTAAAAGCTTGCCCAGCATTTTGGCACCAGAACTCTCATGGCTCTGTCGCATGTCGAGCCTACTTTTCTCTGGCTCTTAAATTGCCAGCCTCAAGATGCTGATGTTGAACTAAAGTTGAGAAGATTAATTGATATAATTGCAGGTGAGTGACCTGGGAAGATAGGGCCTCTGAGTAAATTAAAACAGTGTCACTAATAATTACTTTAGAATTGAACAACCCTTTGATACTTGTTTGAATTTTATTTTTATATTTAAATTTGAGTTTTACAATTTCATACAACTCATTAAAATATGGCATCTGAGATTCAATGCATTGGAATTGTTTAGTCTAGAGATTTTATAATACTTTTTAAGAGGAATATTATCAAATAAAAGGAAAGAACCACATCAAATGAACATTATCAGATCTTCTTTCTGTTAACGTGTACCATATATGCCTATTCAGCAAGCTAAAAACCCTCGATGGTGATACCCAGCACAGCAGCAGATACTGGTGTAAACTCAACAAGTATTGCACACATGTGGTCAAATTTAGGTTCATTAAAGATTCATAAACATAGACGCATTATGATGCAAAGGAAGCGCCCTTGTGTGTCTTTTTTTTTGTGTGTGTGTCTTTTTGAAGCATTTCTTTTTAAATCAAACATTAGCATGATATACGACACCACTGATTGTCACAACCCTTTTTTACATTGCAGTAGGTAGGCTTGTTGCAATTACTGCAGTTAAGGAAGTGATATGTCAGTCTTAGTATGATGTCTTTATAAACCCAAAAGAACACTGTCAATTATCCACAGTGGGCCTTTTTTCATAACCGTGCTGCTATTTTAATTTCTTTTTGTAGAACATTGGGTAAAATTGCTGTCCATTCAAAGGAACCTTTGAAATATTTCTTTCACAAGCAACCTCAGGCAAAAATAAGTGTCACAAAGCACTCTTTAGACATATGCGGGGCCCATATCAAAACCACTTTAAGCATGAAAAGAAATATTCTGCCAAAGGGTTATAGGTTAGGTGGTTAACTGGGTGAAAAATGTATGTACGATTTATTTGCCACTGTCATGTAATCTAAGTTTACATAAATTCTGCATAACAGTGGCAATCATAAAGAGCTAACTTATAATTCCTTAATTTTTATTAGTGTTGCAAATTGACTACACTAAGTTAACATCTTGAAACTTTCTAACAGCAAATGATAATGTCCATCATCCAGTAGCCTGTAGACAAAACACAAGAAACTGATCTTTGCTACACAACCACTGCAAGGATTATACAGGAAAACATAAGTTGGATTCTAGGTCATATAATTTAAAAATGTAGTATTTAGGGCATTGATGTGCCACATTATAGTGGGCATGCATTAAAATGTCTATTTTTATATGTAATATGTGCATTATTATAATATTAATAATAAAAACCTAAGGAAATTAAAGATATGATTTTTTTTAACATGTATGATTCTAGTGAGTAGTTTTTAATATTGTATTCACGAGAATGGGATGGATGTGAGGTCACAGTGACTTTGACCTTTGACCACCAAAATCTAATCAGGTCATCCTCGAGTCCAAGAGGACCTTTTTGCCAAATTTGAAGAAATTCCATCAAGGCGTTCTTGAAATATTTACAACAATGTGCTGGATAGATGGACAACCAGAAAACAAAATGCCTCCGTCCATCCTGTTAAGCAGTGACGGAATTATAAAAAAGGAAATGTTCCTAATAATGCTCATACTAAACATGAAAGAACCTTCAGATAAACTGAAATGCTCTTCTGAATTGTGCAAATGTTTGACCACTAATCACACTCTGGTTTCTAGTCCAGTGAGAGGGAAGCTTCTGAGACTGCATCAGGTTTGGGGAACTCGTCTTGTGTGATGCCTCTACCAGCCTATCTGTCCTATTAATCAGCAGTAGGGAAACAGCATATGTGGCAGTACTGCCATATTTGTAGGCTTAATAGGAACATGTCTGTGTTAAGTTTTACATCTATGTGCATTAGCTTAGTTATTTAGTCAAATTATCTAAAAGTCATTTTTATACTGTTTTAATCAGGCATGGTATACTGGATCGGCCATGTTATCAAATCAAATCAAATCACATTTTATTTGTATAGCACCAAATCACAACAAAAGTTATCTCAGGACACTTTACAAAGTAAGGTCTAGACCTTACTGTTATCACTATTATTACATAGGGAAAACCCAACAAATCCCCCTTGAGCAAGCACTTGGCGACGGGGGGAGGAAAAACTCCCTTTAACGGAAGAAACCTCCGACAGACCCCGGCTCTTGGTGGGTGGCCTTCTGCCTCGACCGGTTGGGGTGAGTGGATAGAGGAGTAACGAAAGAAGAAAAGCAACAAGACACAACAATCAATCAAACACTGGTCAGGTTGATGTGGCCGGTGACTGCTCATCAGAAACATAGAGCTCCAGAGCCAGGGCAACCTGCAGAAAGGTACAGGGAGGACACAGTACGGGAGAGAGGAGACAAAGTTAGTGATGTGTAATGGTGGCATATAGAAGCATGGAGAGAGAGGAGAGAGGAGGGGAGAGAAACTCAGAGCATCATGAGGCCCCCCAGCAGCCTAGGCCTATAGCAGCATAACTAAGGGAAGGCTCAGGGTCACCTGATCCAGCCCTAACTATAAGCTTTATCAAAAAGGAAAGTCTTAAGTCTAATCTTAAAGGTAGAGAGGGTGTCTGCCTCCCAAACTGAGACTGGGAGTTGATTCCATAGGAGAGGAGCTTGATAGCTAAAGGCTCTGCCTCCCATTCTGCTTCTGTGGACTCTAGGAACCACAAGTAAACCTGCACTCTGAGAGTGAAGTGCTCTGTTAGGATGATAAGGCTCTGCAAGGTCTTTAAGATACGATGGTTCCTTGTCATTAAGGGCTTTGTATGTTAGGAGAAGGATTTTAAATT